CTTCCCTTCCCCTCGCCGGGGCCCATCCGGGAAGTGCGCCGTTGGGGGACAGCCGTGTGAAGATCTTGGCGCGTGCCAGAGCACCATGTTCAGGACTGCAGCGCCACGAGGCGGCCTGACTGTTGCGTCTCGGCGATCCTGAATCGTGCCAGAACGCCGTTCCTGGGCTTCCGACACCACGCATCCACGTCACTGCTGCGCGCCCTAACGGTCGCGAACCGTTCCAAAGCACGAGCTCTGATCTGTTAGCCATGAGCATCGGCGGATTTTTTTTTTGTTTTTTTTTTTTTTTGTTTTATGTTTTTATATGTTTTTCGCCCCCCCAAGGCAAGCGAGGAGAGGAGAAGGAGGAATCCGCTGCCCCTCAAGGGAGCTATCCTCAACACCCACCGCGACAGAGGCCGACCGCAGGGCACTGAACGCAAAAACATGCCATGGCCCCGGACTCGGGGAACTCGCGAAAGCGGGACTGCGAAAGGCGGAAGTCTTGCACTTGTTTGAGACGCATTCTCGAGGCGGTCCGGGAGGAGGAGGAGGAGGAGGAGGAGGAGGAGGAGGAGGAGGAGGAGGAGGAGGAGGAGGAGGAGAGGAGGAGGAGGGGGCTCCCGCCCGGCCGCCGGGCGGGCCGCCCTCCGTGGCCGAGGCCCGGCCGCGCGGGCGCCCCGAGCGCGCGAGCGTCGGGAGGCGGGCGCGGGCCCCCCCCCCCCCCTGGGGCGGGGAGGAGCGGGGCGGGCGGTGCGCCGGCGGCCTCCCGGGGAGGCGCCGCGAGGAGCGCCAGAGAGCCTCTCCCCCGCTGCTCCCGCTCCTCCTCTTCCCCGCTCAGCGCCCTCGCCCCCCTCGTGCCTCGAGGGGCCCTGGGACACACAGACAGACACACACACACACACAAACAAGAGGATTCCCCAGATTTTTTCGCATATGTTCTGGGTTTTTGTCTTCCACCCCACTTCCCGTATTTTCCAACATTTTCTGGTGACTCGCCGATGAATTGTGTCTGTGTGTTTCTTTCCCTCCTGAGTACTGCTGCTGCTGCTGCTGCTGCTGCTGCTGCTGCTCTTCACTCCCTCCCTCCGGGGCCCCCCTCCCTCCCTTCCGGGCAGCCGGGCGCCAGTCCCCCGACGGGCCCTGACGGTGGTGGTCATGGCGACGGTGATGGTGACCATGACGATGGCGATGATGGTGATGATGAGGATCATGCCTGGTAGCTGGGCCGCATCGTGCAGCCAGCGCGAGGCCCGCTGGAGGTCCGAGCGCGCGTGCAGCGCCAGGTGCAGTCGCACCTCTGCCGCACGGGCCGAAGTCAAGACATAGCCTTGCATTGCCTCCTTCCGCCACTCTTTCTCTCTCACTTGCTCTCTCTGTCTCTGTCTCCTCCTTGGCGCTCTTCCTTTATCGCTCTCCCTCCATCTCTCTTCCAGTCCTCCCTGACGAATCTGAGGAGGCAGCAGGTGAGGGGCGGGAGGGAGGGAGGGAGGAGGGAGAGAGGGAGAGAGGGGAGGGAGGGGGAGGGAGGAGGGAGGGAGGGGGGGAGGGAGGGGAGGGAGGGAGGAGGGAGGGAGGGGAGGAGGGGGAGAGAGGGGGAGGAGGAAGGGGGAGGGAGGGAGGGAGGGCGGGAGGGGGGAGTCAGGAGCCGAGAGCGCGTGCGAGGAGGACGCCGAGAGCCCCCCGGCGCGGGCGGGCCCCGCGCCCGAGGCCAGCAGAGGGCGGGCGCGCGCCCGAGCCCTGCGCGCGGGCGCGCCCGGCCCCCGCCGCGGCGGCTCGCGCGCGCGCCTGCGCGGGGGCCTCGGACGCCGCGCGGGCCGTGCGCTCCCGACCTGCGGGGCCGCCCGCGGTGGGAGCCCGGCCACCAGGAGGAGCCTTCCACGAGGAACCCGAGCCCGAGACCCCAGGGCGTCCATGGGCTCGTGGCGTGAGGGCGGGGCGCTCTCCATCGCCAGGAGCAGCGAAGCCCAAGAAGCCTGGGGCTCTCTCTCTGGAGGCAGGCCGGATGCTTCTGGGCATGGGCTTCCCCACTGCTGATGGGGTGCGAGCGCAGTCGGGGCTAGGCCAGAATAGCATCCTTCAAGAAGAGGAGGCCCTCCGCAGGCCAAAACACACAGAACATCGAAGGGTACCCTCCCCAGGATGCACAGGAACATCCAACGAGCACGAAGAACACTAGGGTGCCCTCCCCAAACCGATCTCGACCTTATACCTCGGTCCGATTGTAGATGGGGTCGGAGGATCGCGCCGCATCGGCGACGTCGGCGGTGCATCGGCAGCGCCGGCGTGGAGAAACTCGGGCTCCACATCGAGCCGCATCGCCGATGCATCGGCGATGCGGCGCGATCCTCCGACCCCATCCATGAGGCCTGGATGAACGAATTGGCATGAACTAGACAGGAGGCCTCCCGAACTGGAGGATTGAGGCTCGAGGTTCGAGGCCCGGGGTGCGCTTTCTGGAGGTCTTCGACCGTCCTGGGGCACTCTTGTGGCCACGGCTGGATTCGCCTTGAAGTTCTGGGCAGAGCGCACCCCAAGATAGGCCCAGGGATTTTTTTTGATCCAGGAGGGTGAGATCTCGAGGTTTGAGGCTCGGGGTTTTCGATCGTATTCGTCGGTTCCTGGAGGTTTCCCAGGCTCCGAGTGCTTTCCAGCAGCTGCGCCTCGCCGAACAAATTCTTGGGGTGCCCAAACCGTCCCGAACGGCCGCCAGAGACCCGAGTTATGGCCCGACCGGGGCACCGTTCACCGCGCCGCATCGCCGCAGGCCCTGTGTCGCAAGGCCAGGCCGCCCGAGTGGGGTTCGAGTACATGGGGTCGGAAGATCGCGCCGCATCGCCGATGCGTCGGTGAATGCACTGGCGGCGTCGGCGATGCATCGGCCGTCGGCCTGAGGAGAATCGGGCTCCGCATCGAGCCACGTCACAGGTGCATTGGCGATGCGGCGCGATCCTCCTACCCCATCTGCCCGCGCCACATTCAGATGCCTGGACCAACAGGTCCGGAGGGAAGCGGGTCCTGATGACACTGGCCCTCGAGGCCAGCTCTTCCCATCCCGCCCCGTTCCGTGGCTGGTTCCGGGATCCGCAGAGGTCCCCTGGAGTCCGTAAGCCGCGAAATACCTCCAATACCCGTCGTGCTTCACGGTGATGAGCGATCACGGCTCTCCGATATCGCGAACCCTTCGATGCCGGCCGATTCCGGGCCACTGGCGGCGTTCAACCCGGAACGCCCGCGCTGGAGAAGCCGCCGCGTCGAAGAGGAACGAGGCGCGAAGCCGCCGAGCAAACATCCTGGCCTGCGTGATCCTGGGCCAGGGATCGGTGCATACGCTCTCCTGGCCCTCCACCGAGACTGGCGGGGACATCCAGATCGAGGAGGAGGAGGAGGAGGAGGAGGAGGAGCAGGAGGAGGAGGAGGAGCAAGAGGAGGAGGAGGAGGAGGAGGAGGAGCAGGAGAAGGAGGAAACAGATGCGAAGAAGGATGACATCAGGTGGATAGAGGGGCAGGCTGCAGCCAGCTGAACGCGTCGCTCAATTTCGACAAGGGGGGCAGGAAAGAGAGGTGAGAGAGACAAGCTAGGTGCGCTCGTGCCCTATCTGCCATCCTACCCCTCCAACTCATCCCTTCCTGATGCGCTGTTTTTTTCCTATTCGGCGACGCGTACCATAGCGGACCTGGAAATCCAAAAGAACACCAGATCGTGTCTTATGCAATTCGAACATGGGGGAGCTGCGTGCATTGGAGGAGGAGGTGGGTGGCGGATGAGCAGGAGGAAAAGGATAATGCAGGAGGAGGAGGAGGAGGAGGAGGATGAGGACGAACAGCAACAGGAGCTGGACAGGAAGACCGAGAGCAGGAGGGCCAGGGAAGGCGGAGGAGGGGAAAGGAGAGAGGCGACAACGATGAGAGGGACTCGGACCCCAAGAAGTGGTGTGCGCTGTGACGAGAGCGCCATTCTGAACAACTGGAGCAAAGCGCCGATCCTAAAATGAAGCCCACGCTGCAGCAGGAACACAATTTTGGAAACCTGCGAACGTTCCGATGGGATAAAATCACAAGGACCAACAAACACTGACATCCAGTGTCAAACACAATACGTGGAGAGGGCCGAATATCTTCGGGATAGGGTCAGGGGAGAGAGGAGCGAAGTACTCATATTGAGTACTGGTAGAAGATGGTAGGGGTTGAATGTGGAGGAGGAGGGGCAGGACGGGGAGGAGGGGTGGACGAAGAGCTAACTGCTGAGAGCCCGACGATGCATCTCCGCGTCTCCAACAGGGGCGCCAAGAACTCGAGAGAGGCGTCCCGGACCACGTGCCGTAGGGCCAAACTCTGGAGCTGCGACCCGTGCTGGGCGAGCCGCTTGAGGACTCCGTCGTCCCACTGGAGGCGTCTTTGATGCATGATCAGGAGGAGGACCAGCACCAAAAAGCGGCAGCACACCTTGCCTCCTCCGCGGCGTTGGAGCAGCAACTGGTAGTACAACCGTCGTGCTATCGAAAGGGACGCTGCATAAAAGAACGAAGGGGCTTGTCGGCTTGTCTGGCCACGGCGAACCTCGGCCACAAAGAGGTTCCCCGACCCAGATCTACGGAACTACTCGAAAACCAGAGCCCCTCCTAATGCCAAAATGGTCTTTAATTGAGCGCCTTGGCTGCCAACTGACGTGCCACGTCAGTGTAACTTGTAACCGCACGTCTGGTGATCGCGCTCGCACCAGGGCTGCGCTCCCCCAGGGTTCGGGGCGAGCCGGGAGGGCGCAGTCTAGGCGGTGCGCGGTGGGTAACGGGGTCAGCGAGTGGTGCGGAGGCGTCTGACATAGAAACGGCACAACATACACACTTTTTTTCGTAAGCGGCGAGGCGGCGAAATCCGCACCAGCGTAACATCTAGGCAGGGGCGCCAATTAGCGAATTGGCCGGCGTGCAAGGGGGGAGGGGGGAGGCCGACGAGGAAGGAGGGACGCTCCGACGCCGAAGAGTTCGACGATGAGCAGCCGGCGGGCGGCAGCAGCCAGGCGCGCCCGGCCAGAACATACACACACGCCACCACTGATGTTGCAGTGCAGGCGTCGTGCTACCAGAAGGACTACTGCATAAACAGCGAAGGGGCTCTTCGGACCACGGCGAGCCTCTCGGGCACAAACATGTCTCAAGGGGCCCAAGGACACACACAGACATGAATAGATACCCCCAAATCCCAGGATTCCCCATCTTTTCCCATATCTTCTGGGTCTTCGCCTTCCCCCCCACTTCCCATATTTCCCAATCTTTTCCTGGGGATCGACGATTAACTGTGTCTGTGTGTTTTTTCCCTCCTGAATGTCTCCCGACCCAGATCTAGGGAGCGGTCCGAAAACCAGAGCCCCTCCTGAGCCCAACGCTGTCCTTATCTCATCGTCTTGACAATCGTGGGCAAACGAGTCGTGCAGTGGATCTGGCAGGCGTCCGTCACAAAAAAGGCAGCACACACACACGCACACGCCACCAATGATGCTGTCATACACAACCTCCTCCTCATACGTCAAGGGGAGCAGGAGAGGAGGGCACCTGAGACTGATCCATCTACCTTGCGGGTGAAACGCTGCCATCGGTGAATGAGGGAGGGAGGTGATAAGGATGGAGGAGAAGGATGAGAACCAAGAGAAGAGGAGGGAGGAGGAGGGGAGGAGGGAGGGAGAAGAGGAGAGGCGGAGAAGAAGAGGATGCTGATGGAGCAGGAGCAGGAAGGTGGAAGGGGATCGGACTGGCGGTCGAACCGAATGCCTGCTTGAAAGCGGACCCGCGTATCGTCTCGGCATCCCCGATCGGTGCGGCGTCGAGCTCTTGTAGCCGCGCGCAGCCTTCGGCCAGCTCCCCCTCTTCGTTCTTTTCCTCCTCCTCCTGCTGCTCCTCCTCCTCCTCCTCCCTTTTCCCCTCCTCCTCCTCCTCCTCCTCCTCCTCCTCCTCCTCCTCCTTCACCTCCTTCTCCTCCTGCTCCTCCTCCTACTCCTTTCTTCCTCATCCTCCCCGTCCGTCATCCATTTCCCCATTCCTCCAGCTCCCTTCCTCTTCCTCCCTCCTCGTCTGCCTCCTCCTCCTTCACCTCCTCCTCCTCCTCCTCCTGCTCCACGTCCCTCCTTTTCTCCTCCTCTCCCTTCTGCCCCTCGTCCTCCTTTCTTCCTCATCCTCCCCGTCCGTCATCCATTTCCCCATTCCTCCGGCTCCATTCGTCCTCCTCGCTCCTCCTCTGCCTCCTCCTCTCCTCCTCCTTCACCTCCTTCTCCTCCTGCTCCTTCTCCTCCTTTCCTCCTCATCCTCCCCGTCCGTCATCCATTTCCCCATCCCTCCGGCTTACTTCGTCCTCCTCGCTCCTCCTCTGCCTCCTCCTCCTGCTCCTCCTCTCCTCCTCCTTTACCTCCTTCTCCTCCTGCTCCTTCTCCTCCTCTTCCTCCTCCTCCTCCTTCTCCTCCTCCTCCTCATCCTCCTCCTCCTCCTCCTCCTCCTTTCTCCTTTCTCCTCCTCCTCCTCCTTCTCCTCCTCCTCCTCCTCTTCCTCCTCCTCCTCCTCCTCCTCCTCCTCGTCCTCCTCCTCCTCCTCCTCCTCCTCATCCTCCCCCTCCTCCTCCACGTCCCTCCTTTTCTCCGCCCCTCCCTTCTGCCCCTCGTCCTCCTCGAGGGATGCGGAGGGCTAGGCGGGACTGGACCAGGTGGCCGCACTGGGGGCCCACCCGAGAGCGAACCCTATGCATCGCAACGCTCGGCATCCTCGATCGGTGCCACGTCGAGCTCTTGCAGCTGCAGGCAGCCTTTGGCGAGCTCCTCCGGGTCGACAATGTCCAGCTCGTGCCTTTCCTTCGGTCCAGCAGCGGCAACGAGAGCAACGGGCACGAACGAACGAGTCTGCTGTTGATTGGAAGCAACCCCCCAAAAGGGCGGCATGCGCCTGCAGAAGGACGGGTTGCAAGAAGCGGATGTGAAACAACGGAAACCGAAACGAATCAGCGCCACATGTGGTTCACGTACTCATCCTCAAGATTTTGCCATAATTCCGGCGGCTTAGCCATTTTGGTCCACTACTCCCACCTCTTGTGATTAGCAATGCTCTGAAAGCAATGAGGTCTCCGTGAAGCGGCTGTCGACAACGAATCTGGGGCGAGTGGGGCGTACATCCTCTCAGCGGGCTTGCCTTCAAGCCAGTGCCCATCAGTGCGTTCCGACCTCGCCGATTTCGCTTGTCATGAAGATCTGGCAAAGCTTGGCACTTCCGATGGCCTTGGGTCTCTTCAAGTCTCTGGAGGCCTCCGAAGTGTGGGGTCTATGGAGGTTGTGTTGGCAAGTCCCGAATCCAACTTAATTTGCGAAGCGTGGGTTTTTGAAGGATGCTAATCTTGATTCAGCTGGGAGCTGTGGTGGTTGAAATGGGCAGACTTGTTCTTGCCGTCGATCGCACATGCCAGCTGTGCACAAATAAACCCAGCGCGGCCCACATCAGGGGCCTTCGTTCTTCCAAAACAATTCCAAGTAGTTCTGAGCAGTGCAACGCATTGCCAAAACATTGCTTGGCCTTGTTTGAAATCGTTGCGTGAAATCGTTGCTTGGCATTGTTTGGCACTGCCTTTGCAGCACTTGGCGTTGCTTGGCTCTGCTAGGCGTTGCTCGAGGAGGCCGAGGAACACAAGGAAGACTGTGCTGGAGGAGCCCGAGGGTACCTCGATAAACCTGAGCGAAGAACCGAGGGATAGCCTCTGATTAACTACCTCACACCCACGGGTTTCTTCACAGATGAATAAGAACGCCTTGGGCAAAACCCAAAGAAAAATCCGAGTGGATGCCGTGACAGATGATGGTCTCGCTTTTCAACAGACAACGCGGTAACGCATTGGGAATAACGGGCTTGTCGAGGAGTGAGTAACAGGGGCGAACCAGATTTCGATGACCCCAGAGTTAGGAAATGCGACAGAGAAGAGAACCATGACAGAGGATCGGAAAAGAGAGACGATGGAACCGCATGACCAGTCATGTGAGTACCGCGTGCGACCCACGGCAGGGGGAACGTGCGGATCAGCCCCCCTACAGCGATGGAAAATTGGGGCGCAATGTCGATAACCCATACCAAGGCGTCATAAGATCCTCCTGCACTGATCAGGCAGAGAAATCAATCACCAAACGGACTTTGATATGTTTCAATCCGCGATTGCATCTACCCTGTCAACACTGGCACCTTCAGCCAACGTCAGACGCTGCGCGTGACACTGTGGAATCTCTGAGCGCCGGCATCTCTGCGTGGAATCGCCTTCTCCAATTTGGGGATGCCTCGTGGAAGCTCCAAGAGAGCCCCAAACGGATCCCCAAGAGGGCCCCAAACCGACAGATAGTTGGCACAAGCCAGCCCTCGACAAAGATGCGTATTGCTCCAACTTTGTACCGTTTTCTGGGTTCTGCTGGGGGCCTCTTGGGGCCCCATCTTGGCCTCTGGGCCCAATCGCTCTGGGCCCGTTTCGGATCTCCTGGGCCCATCCTGGGCCGCTCCCATCTTCCGAGGCCTGACATTCCACAGGAACCCACAGACCCCAAACGCAGGGACATGATGAACACCACTTTCAGCACCCGCCCGACCACCTGGCAAAACAACGTGGCTAATCATGAGGGAGAGGCGAGGGCAAATCACGTGTCTCGCATCCAGGAGGGCCGTCGCAGAATAGGCAGCTGGGAGGAACGGGTCTCGCCGCACTGCGCATCGTATACGCATAGCGTTGCGCCGTGCCCAGCATCCAACAAAAATCGCTAGACAGCTGCGTCCAACTGTGGAGCTTACCCGCCCCCTCCCTCACCTTGGCGGGCAACAGCTCGCACCACGCGAGTTGCCGGTTCAACACTGGAGGCCTCCAGATAGCCCCCCGAGGCATCCAGAGGCCCAGCCCAAACACGCAACACAACTCGATCCTCCTCCTCGATCCTCCTCGATCCTCGATCCTCCTGCTCGATTCTCCTCCTCGACCCTCCTCCTCTTCGATCCTCCTGGACCCTCCATTCTCCTCGATCGGAAATCGACCACCACCAGCGCAGCCGAGCGGTCGCTCTGACCGCGCACCGCTGGACTGCTCACGCTTTCGAGGTCGATTTTTGAATTTCCAAAAGAGAGGAGAATCGCGCGGGCGACCCGATGCACGGAAGGGGAGGAGGAGGGTTTGGATGGTGGAGGCGGGGGATGAGGAGGAAGAGGAGGAGGAGGAGGCGGAAGAGGAGGAGGAGGTAGAGGAGGAGGAGGAGATGGATGTATGATTCGAGGTATGAGGCATGACGAGGAAAAAGGGGGTGGGGATGATTTTGATAGTGAGAGGGGGAAGGACGGGGAAGCGGGGAAATAAAGACTGTGAGAAGAGGAGGACGGTCACAATGAGGAGGATGGAAAGCAGGAGGCGTGGATGAGGAGGATACTCATTGTTTGAGGAGGCGGAACGGGGAGGACGTCGAGCTGGAGGATGAGGAGGAGGAGGAGGGAGGAGGAATGGAGGAGGAGAGCGAGGAGGACGAGGGGAGGAGGCGGGAGGAGAACCGAGGGGGGCGCGGCAGCAGCTCCTGGCACAGCTGGGCGGAGAGCTTCTCGAGCTGCGGACAGCAGGCGGCGATCGTGCGCGAGCCGCCGGCTGGGAGCGCTTCTTGGGTGCGCCCGCCTCGGCCTCAGCTGGGCCCGCCTTCTGGTCGTGAGTGACGCTGCTGCTGCTGCTGCCGATGATGCTGCTGCTGCTGCTGATGATGCTGCTGAGGATCCTCCTCCTCCTCCTCCTCCTCCTCCTCCTCCTCCCCCTCCTCCTCCTCCTCCTCCTCCTCCTCCTCTCCTCCTCTCCTCCTCCTCCCTCCTCCTCCTTCCCCTCCCCTCCCCCTCCCCCTCCTCCTCCCCCTCCCCTCCCTCCCCCTCCTCCTCCCCCTCCTCCTCCCTCCTCCTCCTCCTCCTCCTCCTCCTCCTCCTCCTCCTCCTCCCTCCTCCTCCCCTCCTCCTCCTCCTCCTCCTCCTCCTCCTCCCCCCTCTCCTCC